TATTTGCTGTGTACTTATACGGTGTTTACATGCGGAGACTTTACAGGCAAGTTTTAGTTGCAAGCAACAATCGCCTGGTGTTAACGGTTTTCCAGCTAATCGCATCCAATGAATTTGGGAGGCAACCAACTTTTGATTCAACTAATCCCCTATAAAATTTCCTATAAAATCTCTTCATGTGAATACGGTTTTAGACAGCAGGTAAAAGAACAATTTGGAGTAACTGCCTTTGAAATATAAATTAGCGGTCAGATCTGGGTAAATTAAATTATTCTTATTTTCGTTGTGGGTGTTTCCGCCAGGGTAGGAGTATGATGTAATGTGGAACGATTTTCCGTCATCGCAAGACACTGAAGATTACACAACGCCGTAACTGGTTTGTCTCCAAACCAAATTTGACAAGGGATGACGGAAAATCGTTCCACATTACAAATGCAATGGGCTGGGCAAAATGAAAGCGTGAAAGCGTAACAAACAAACAAACTCACTTTCGAATCTATAATATTAGTAAGGATTCCTTTCAACTGAATTGAAAAAAAAGATTACTTTCTCAATTTATTTCAAAATGAATTGAAAAAAAATTAAATTACTAGCACGTAAGTAGTTGATAAATAGGAATACGATATGCAATGCCTTGTAATGGAATTTAAAAACAAAAAAATACTTTTGAAATGACTTCTAAGGAATTGAAAACACAGGCCAACAAAAATGAAAAAAAATGTTGGTGCGACAAATGTTAAAGCTATTTTTGATAGACTTTTTTGTGATGATTACGAATCCGTAAGTACAAAGGATCCAACACGTACAGGTTTTGAGAAAATCGAGGTCAAAGTGACAAAAAATCGGGCTTTTGCAATATTTGAGAAGCTCTAGCAAAGAGTAAAAAGGTGATAGAACCTTCCACTTAGGCTTAGAACCCTGGACTACTATCCTTGAAAATACCATTCCTGCACATTGAATTTATGGTCACTTCCACGGTTCTACCACATTTTTACTCTTTGCTCGAGCTTCTCAAATATTAAAAAAAAACCCGATTTTTTGACACTTTGACCACGATTTTCTCAAAATCTGAACGTGATGGAATCTTTATAATTACGGATTCGTAATCAGCTCAAAAAAGTCTATCAAAAACAGATTTAACATTTGCCGCACCAAAATCAGTGTTGCCCTGTGAAATTAATAAATTCCTTCGCAATGGACTGAAGGAGTTTATTACTAATTACAATTCCTTGTACTTTGTAATTGGCAGTAATTTAATTCTTTAAGAGTCCAAAAGAAAAGTGCTATAGTTATTGGCCTGAGTGTATTTTTGTCGTAAACAAATATTATCTCAAAGAGTACTATTTATTATGAATGTTTTTCTTAAAGATTAATCTTTAGCTCAACTCATACGGTTTATAAAATCTTAACAAGTAGTTTACTAAATATGTAGTATAGATAGCGTAAGTGTTCGTACATATGTATGTATGTTCATATAAACATATTTATTCGATTAAAAATGTTATAGAATACGTGTTGAGCTGTGTAGTTTTATTTTTAAGATAAGGACTTAAATGTGGAATATAGAGTTTATTTAACGACCTCGTATCAAAACTGATATTACTTGGTAAGGGGATAAGAATAAAAACTATCAACTGTTGAACTAATTTTGTTATGTTTTTTTTTTTTGTTAACTATAACGAGTGTATGACAATTGAAGGAATTATTTATTATTATAAATTATCGTCCCAATATACATACACATGTATAATGTATATGTAAATATATGTATTGTACATAAATATTTTGTTTCTTTTCTGAATCGGACGATAACCACGCCTACCTCCCATATAACGGTAGTTTTCAGAAATACGAAAACTGCGATATTTTAGTAACTACCAAAGCTTATTCACTCAAAATTGACATTTATAATCATTTTTAGGCGAAAAATAAGAATATTATAAATTTTTGGAAAATGGGCGTAGCCACGCCCACTTATGATTACATATATATATCTTGCGAACCGCTTCACCGATTTCTCCCAAACTTGGCACAGTTGTGGTCTTGACAAACATATCAAACAGCATTTATATTTAAGAACTAATATAACTCAATACTACTTGAATTAAATAAATATTTTTTCAAATTCAAACAAATTTCTTTTAATTTTTGGCGCCATATTGGATCGGCCGTTTTGTTTTTTGTTATTTTGACTTCAGATGCGAATTCAGCGACCTCAAAAATCCCTGTAAACCTGAATTTAGGTGAATGCACTCATTTCTTAAATTATGGGCACAAAATGGGTATCAAATATCACTGTGCGCAGTCGCGAAGGACAGAACAGAATTATCTGCCCACGCTGCATTCCCTGGATGGCTCCCAGTTATTGCTGAGTTAGATATTTATCCTAAAGAGAAGTCTAGATTGACCCCGTTACCTGTTGATAGCTTTGTATGTAGTTCATACATATGTACGCCGAGTAGTCGATTACAAATTATAGTTCATGTATAGTTAGTTGAGTTTCCTACAGGTTGAAGGTTGTCGTTGAATATTTTAACTGAGTGGGTGGTGCCACGTTCATTTTCGCAAAATTTCATAACTGTATATTTACGGAAATATCGTAGATTTTGCTTTTTTCGCCCATTTTCAATATCAACCTACCTTGTATAAAAGGCCACCTGAATACTAAGACAGATACTTCTCTCTTTATTCTGAGCATTTTGGTATATTTGTATATGTCTACATATAGCCATTTCGACTACTTTGGCCTGTTACAAACAACCGTTATAATGCCCTTGTGCCCAAGTGCGTATATGTACATTTTGATCGGAATGAGTATGGAACATCACTATTTATGTTTTTGGGTACACTCAGATTACGAAAACGGAGTCAGTTCTGACATAAAGTTGTGCAGTAAAAAGTTATTTGTTATTGTTATTTTATAGGCTTATAACAATTATATTCAGTATTTTTTATCGAGCTTCAGGAAGTTTTTAAGGTTTAATGGCTGCTAAAACTTCTACCAAAATGTAAACTGTTAATTTTTTCCACAAAAATTTTCATCAAAAACGGCCTATTCACGAAGTAATTTTCAATTAATCTGTCATATCTGAGCTACTAACAGCCGGTTTCACCAGCAATTTAAAAGAAAAATGTATTTTTAATTTTCTGTCAGTTTCCATATAAAATAAAAAAAAATTTAAATCATTTTATACTTATATTACGTTCAAATTGGCTCCTTTAACTTGTTAAATGAAAAAGAGCTTTTTGTAAAACACAATCGTCCACATTGAACATTTGGAGTTAACTTTGACGGCTGTTTGATTTCAAATGAAAATTCAAAAAAAAAATACTAATATTCAAAATCAAGTTTTTGTGTCCAAATTTGTTTTGTGCGAAGGTCTGCTTCATGATATTAACGCATACGAATTACTTAGAGACTTCAAAATCGTTAGTTCATATGCACTATTAATCTCTGCGTACGATGAGACCTCATGGGAAATAACTAATTACCGCCTTGGCAGACATGCATACAATTTTGATATTTTTTGATAATTTTCAATATTTTTAAGAAAATAAATTTTTTGAACGTTGGCGTGTCAAATGAAAGCTTTTGGCTCTTTCTGATTGGCTGAAGCAGAAAGCTTTCTGATACAAGTCTGCGCTGAACTGGTTTTCAAACGAGTTAAATGATTTAACTGGTTTAATTTTCCAACAGCAATTGCATGCGATTTAACTTGTTTATAAACACGTTTTGTTCATTTAACTGGTTCAAGCCCATTTAACATGTTTAATAGCGTGGGCCGAAAATCCGCTTTTTTAGAATTTTGATTGGTTATCGCAAAAATATGGCTCATTATGCCCTAAAAAAATCTGTGTGAAAGATAAAAAAGTTTGGTCAATGTCTTGGGCTCGCCCAAGTCCATCAAAGTTCAATGTGCTAAAAAAATAAAAATTAATTAATTAATTAATTAATTAATTTTTTTTTACTAAAATTTTCATTAAATTCGAAAGTATTAGCCCACCTAATTTGGTATATGGACCTTTTTTACAGAGAATCGAAGTAAGCTAATTTTTTTTTTAGCGCCTGAACTTTGATGGACTTGGGCGAGCCTTAGATATTGAGCAAAAATTTTAATCTTGCACACATATTTTTTTAGAGCACAATGAACCATATTATTGCTATTACCAATCAAAATTAAAAAAAAACGGATTTTAGGCCCACGCTAATAATTAACATACATATGTATGTTTACAAAAATGTTTAATAGGAAAAGAAAAATCGATTTAAGTAGTTATTAACCGACTTCAAAAAAAGGAGGAGGTTATCAATTCGTCGGATTTATTTTTTTTTGTGTATGCATGTTACCGCATACCTTTGGACCACGTCAACCGATTTCGAAAATTATTTTTGCATCGGAAAGGTAGTGTCTCAGAGGTGGTCCCCTACTAAGCTGGTTTAGATCTGCTTATTGGATCATGAAAAAATTAACGGTACTCCTAAATTTTTATATGAGATTTGAAGTCGGTTTTGTTTTTTGCTTAAAAATTACTTGTTTTTTTTATATAATGTCGTTGCTTATCTTTACCACGTACCCCTTCTCAAATATTTGCAACGCCACTGCTTCGATTTGTTTGCATTGCACTTGTTGTGTTAACAGGTGGTAAACAGGTGAAAATATGTTTATGAATGCAGTTACATTTGTTAATAGTATGTAAATATGTATGATATTGAGCGTACGCATGCATTTGGTATCAAACAATTTTCAAACTTTCCATATTTTGAGTAGTGACATATGTATGTATGTGTAGTTATGAGTATTAGGTATGCGTAAATGCTCTAATTTTTCTATGTACATACAAATGTATGTATACACATGATATGTACTATAATTACTGTTAGTATATACTCATTGCAAATAATAAATATTGATCTGACATACGTTTGAATAACTTCACACATTTATTTACATTCATAAACTTTATTACTAATAATTATTATTTTATTTCTTCAATTATAGGTAAAATGGATGAAGACGCCACCCTCACCAATTTCAAGGTGTTGTACGTGGTGACGCAGCTATGCGGTATAACAATGATCGTTCTAGCTGGTTGTTGGGTTGGCATACATTTCGGTGGCTTTAGTGGCAGTGCCACTCCCAGAGTTGAATTTAACTGGCATCCGCTATTTATGACAATCGGCCTAATATTCTTATATGGCAATTGTAAGTAATGAACCAACTTATGCAGTAAGTAAGTAGTAAAGCATGCGTAATTATAAATAGTTTTACAAATACACACATGCTGGCCAACCATATTTTATTAAGCAGATACCAAAAACGTACATATGTACATATTATGTATTATATGTACTTATGTTTTCCAATGCATACATACATTTATGTGCACGCTTGCAGATAAGTACCCAGCCAGCAAAAAATCTGAAAAAAAACAAAGAAAGAAAGGTGGATGAAATGCTGATTTTTGTCCGTTTACCGATTCCATTTGCAGATATTTTGACGATCCGCTTTCCTTTTAAAGTGTGCGGCAAAAACGTTTTAACAGAAAAGTCCCATAAAAGGTTTTAAAACGGATACGTGTATGGCTGTTTTCCTGAAACTTTTTTAAATTAAATTTTGTATTCAATACTCATGCCTTCTGCACTTCACAGATGCTTTTTCATTGTTCGGAAAAAATAAAACAAAAATAACAAATCTTTTTATTGCTTCTGACGGCATTCGAACCCGGCACCTCCTGAAATCTAACAAAGAATAGCACGCTCCTCCCCACACTCCGCCACTGCCAAATATGTATAAATGCTTTCTAATGTTCACTTTGAACAAATAAAATAAAATTAATGCTTTTAAGAAACATTTTTTTTCTAACGTTTTTCGGATACGAGACCACACTGTCGGAAAAACTTACGTATACATATCGGCTGGCTGGGTAAGTAAATTTCCAAAGTACATACATACATATGCATACATCAATATGCATGTACATTAGGATTGTCCAAAAAAAGTTTAAAATGTAAAGCTCTCACCCGCTACGATTATTTTTTTGTTAAAAAAAATGATATCTAGAAGTATTTCATGTATTTTATATAGTTGAAAAACACTTTTTCATAGAAATGGTATAGAATTTTTAAAAATCAACATTTTCGATCGGAAAACTCTGTTTCTCTTCAGGAGACTTCCAATAATAACACCCTATTGTTTATTTTAGCAATAATAATTTAATTTTAATTTAATTTAATCTAAATTTAATTTATTTAATACTAGCGATATTTTACGGGTCTCCCATTGCATTTTTTTTGGGGTTTTTGGGAATCTACAAATAATAGTCATTATTAAAAAATGATTTAATAAATAATTTCGGCGTTGTTGTTGGAAGAAAATATTGATTTTTTTTTAATTCTGTGTCATTTCTACGAAAAATTGTTTTTTTCCCATATAAAATATATGGGCTTTGAGGCTGTTCTAAATACCAGTTTCTAACGAAAAAATACGAGTATTATTTTTTCCATTTAGAAAAATCGTAGGGTGTATGTATTTTTGGAGCACCCTAACGCACATGCACAATATTTGAAACATGCTTTTAAGCATTGGCCATATGTACAGTAATAACAACATCAATACAATTTATATTGGTAATATTAATGGCAATGGTATTAAAATGTTATGGTAGTTCACAAACTAAATAAATTACACATAATTTGTTTTAATGAAAATCATTTTATTTTGCTATGTTAATGAACTGGTGTAAATTCAAATTAAGATGACGAGCTGAAATGTTAACTTTCGGAGGCTTGCCATGGCTTTTGGATGTTGCTCGAAAATAGAGTGGCAGCAAACGTAAAATGTGAACAGCCTTCAGCCCAAAAAGGGTACAGAGTATGGGTGTATTCGAGCTTCTATAAACGCGGCAGTGTTGCTTTTTATGACAGAGCATCACGTCCTACACGAAAATTACAGCAGCTCTGCCTCTATCACGCGTTCGATTAGCAAAATTTTTACGATCCGTTATTCATCACTAACAAATGGAATGCAATATATGTATGTACAAATTTTTCCTGCGCAATTTCTGCAGAATTTCAGTAGGTGTTTGGTTGAGCATCAGCAGCATATCATCAAGAAAGCAACAAGGCTGCAATGCATCTTATAATACTATCAATTTCATTTTTAATATTTACCTACATTCTGATATATTTATGTATATATTTTAAAGTTACTAAAGTCTTATTTTAGATATTGCCTATCTGAAGCCTCGCAAAGTATCCCAGTAGACGGAATCATAATGTTTCATTTCACTATCTGAACGTTGGGTTGAGTTCGATTAGGCTGGATAGCAGTCTACGAATGGGCTCACCTAGACTCAGGTCCTTTAAGGCACGCCATGGCGTTTTTGTATTTCGTGCCTCTAAAATCACTTAAAGCTCAGCCGAAATTGAGCAAACAGACTAAACTTTCTCCGAGGAAGTATCAACAAATATAAGCGAAGCACTACTTCACTTTACTAGGCAGGTATTACAAGCAACAGGAAACAAGTAATTTTTAAGCAAAAAACAAAACCGACTTCAATTCTCATATAAAAATTTAAGAACACCGTTAATTTCTTCATGATCCAATGATCAGATCTAAACCAAATTAGTATGGGTCCACCTCTGAGGTACAACCTTTCCTTAAAAAAAAAAAGAATTACAGAAATCGGTTAACGTGGTCCAAATTTATGCGGTAACATACATACAAAAAAATATTCCGACGAATTAATAACCTCCTACTTTTTTTTGAAGTCGGTTAGAAAGAGCACATTTTTTTCTACTGTGAAGCTCCTACTTGGCCCAGACTTCGCGTTCTAGGATCACTGTATCTAGAAGCACATGACCTACATAAGTAACATTTAGCCAAGGAACCTCACAAAGGCTTTTTAAAGATACGCTGAACAAAGAAGACCTGCAACCCAACAGTGGGTTGAAACAATATTTCGTCCTTAAACCTGGTATGTAGGTGACCTGCTCTCTTCTCTAAATATTACCATAATCCAATATACTCTGACCTTAACCGTCACAATTACTTTTACCACTGCAATTATCAAAACCGGTACCATTACCATTTATATTACCATTGTAATTACCAATTACTCGCCCTAAATAACATATTTACATACATACATACGGAAAAGTCAGTTAAATATATTTCTCTCAATACATGATTTGACAACTATCAACAAAAAAGTTACTATAACTAAATCATGTGTTGATAGAAACATATTTAGTAGACGTAACTGAACTTTTTTGAAGTGAAACTTCTTTAGCGGCGGATGGTTGGTTGGGAGTAAATTGGCAAATTCAACGGAAATTGCACACGGAAATGGTGCAACGGAAATGGTTGGGGCTGAAACAAATGCTTCTTGTGTGTATGCATATGGTATTCATTTCACAAAAATTTGCTAATAAAAGGTTAAAGAATAACACTTAGAAAAAGACCAATACAAGAATGAAAGTAAAGGTCACTACGTACATAGATAAAGAAAAGGATAAAGGCAAAGTTAAAAATAAAAATAAAAACAAAGATGCGTAAGGATAGAGGCAAAAATGAAGACCAAGGAAAATTTAAACACTTTGCTTATATAAGGGCAAAGGTGATGGAGAATATGTAGATGAAGAAAATGATAAATATGAAAGTAAAGACAAAGAGGAGGATGGGGATACCGATAAAAGTAAAGAAGATGGGGAGGAAAGATTAAAATAAAGGTAATTCATGAGGAAATGATATATAGAGAGACACAGAGACTCAATCTGGGAACTATTTTTGGATTCTAGAGATTTTCGGGAATCTCGGGACTTATCCATAAAATAATCGATATTTTTATCGGTTTTTTCATCGACTTTTTATCGATATTGTTATTGTTGTTTAACAATTTTGTTAGCGATATTTTTTATCGATTTTGTTATCGATATTTTTATCGATTTTGTTATCGCTATTTATCAATTTTGTTATCGATATTTATCGATATTGTTATCGATATTTATCGTTTTTTATCGATATTTATCGATTTTGTTATCGATATTTATCGATTTTGTTATGGATATTTTTATCGATTTTGTTATGGACATTTTTATCGATTATTTATCGATTTTGTTATCGATTCTGTTGTCGATATTTATCGATTTTGTTATCGATAGTGTTATCGATTTTATTATCGATTTTGTTATCGATATTTATAAATTTTTTATCGATATTTTTATCGATTTTGTTATGGATATTTTTATAAATATTTTTATCGATTTTGTTATGGATATTTTTATAAATATTTTTATCGGTTTTGTTATGGATATTTCTATCGATATTTTTATCGAGTTTCTAATAGATTTTGCTACCAATATTATTTTCGATTTTGCTATCGAAATTTTTATCGAATTTTTCATCGATTTTGTTATCGGTATTTTTATCGGTTTTGTTTTCGATATTTTATTGGATGTTACTATCCATATAGTATAAAGATAAAAATGAAGGAAAACAAAATTACATAAATGTAATTAGAACGAACAGGGATAGAGTTAGGGATCTAGATAGAAAAAAGAAAAAAAAATATAACCTTAAGCAAAAGCATGTATATTGGTTATGAGACAAAATAGATATGTATGTAACGTAAGTTTCACGTCTCCAGTGTGGCCCAGGCACACTTACTGTTTTTCTCAGTGTATGTATCATATGTATTACTTTAAGGTTATCTACTTATAATTATTGAATGCAAATAATATGCAAGTAAGAGCATTTAAATATTTATATTTGTAGAAAAAGTAATCCAAATATTTATTGAATATAATCCTCATTAAAATTGTTTACTTGTTTTCAGCCATTTTGGTATATCGTGGCTTCCGCAACGTCAGCAAGAAGACCCTGAAAATATCACACGCCAGCATTCATTTGATCGCCTTTGTATTGACCGTCATTGCTCTGATAACCGTCTTCGATTCGCACAATCTGGTTGATCCACCAATACCAAACATGTATTCCCTGCACTCCTGGTTGGGAATCGGTGCTGTTATCGTTTTCGGTTTGCAATATGTGGCAGGATTTACAGCTTATTTAGCACCAGGCTGGCGGCAGACGCTTAAGGTCGCTTATATGCCACTGCACATCTACTTTGGCCTATTTGGATTCGTTTTAGCCATAGCAAGTGCTCTAATGGGCATCACCGAGAAAGCTATATTTGCAATGTGAGTACATATATTGTGCACGATTGAGAGAATACAAAGGTTGCGCCGATCTCGGACCGCTTTTCCTCTCTTAACGAATTTGACAGAATCGTTGTTTGCATGACGTCACACTGGTGCAACTTGTTTACGTTTTCCTTGCAACATTTTTTCTTGTTCTTCCATTCTTGCTCACGTTTTGGCATTTCTCTCTCGCAATTGCACCAGTGTGACGTCACAGACAAGTTATTCTCAAAAATCCTCTCCGATCGGCGCAATCTTGTATTCTATCATTCTTGTATATTGTGTAGAAATACATATTCATCAGTGTTGCCAGATTTTTTTAACTGTTAAATACTAAGAAAAAAATTGCATTTTCAGCAAAAATACTTTAACCTTCAAAATCTAAGGAATTTTCGGAAAATTAAAACATGTTCACATTATCGTAATTTACGGCTCATTCGTAATTTAAAAAGAAATCATGCTGAAATCAATTAATTTCCCCGTGTAAAATCTGTCAATAAATTAAGTAGAAATGAGATGATTGATCAAAAATCAAAAACGAAATGAAGAAAAGAAACCTGCCATTTATTTTAGCATGTGCATTGATTTTTTTGGCTTACTTCGTTGAAAACAATTGAGATGAAAAGGCGTTTTTGTAGAAAACCATGGTACAATAATTACAGGTATTGTCTTCCCAGAGAGCGCATATTCAGATCTGTCTTATTTGAAAAATATCATTGTTGCCCACACTAAAAGGTGTACTGTGAGGGCAAAGGGATATTTCTATACCATAAATGTCCACGTTTTTTTTTTTGTTAAACCTTCTTGCAGAGAACTTATTTAATTTGAAAAAGCCGAAAAATAAACATTTGCTTAGTAAACAAATCAAAAACTTTTATTCTTCACTTTATTTCAAACTTATTTCAAAATTAAATTGAGAGAAAACCAAAAGCAAAGCCAACTAAAAGTAAAAGAATCAACATTGAAATGCGTCACAATGAAAATAAGGTAGCACGAATTGCGATGTGAAGCAAAACTTTCTGGGAAGACAATACCTGTAATAATTGTACCATTTTCTTCCGCATGTTCATTTCCTCACAGAGCACACAAAGTAGAGAACAAAGGTGGCGCCCATCTCGGTCCGTTATTCCACGCTCAGTGTATTTGACAGAATGGATGTTTGTATAACGTCATACTTGTGCAACTTGTTTACGTTTTTCTTGCCAAACTTCCTCTTGTTCTTGCATTTTTGTTCGCGTTTTGACATTTCTCTGTCGCAACTGCAGTGTGACGTCACACAAAAATTATTCTCAAAAATCCTCTCAGATAAGCGCTATCTTGTATTCTATCATTCTTGAACAGAGCACTCACTACTGAGGTTGCCATAGTGGTTGCCTCGTGTGTATTGAACAAGAAAATCAGTGTAGGTCATTTAAAATATTCGATTTATTTTAAGATATTTATTAAATAACTAGCAGACCCGGCGAACTTTGTCCCGCCCAAAATTTCTGTATTGAAACAGTTTGGTCCAACATTTTCACCAACAGTTCACGTTCATGATTTTCAGTGACGCATTTATCTTCTAATATTACGGTTTGGTGGTTGTCAGAAGGCATATTTCCATTGCCGTCTTAAATATCTTAGCAAAAGTGTATATGCATACCAAGATACGTAATAGTTTCAGTGTGTTTGAAAGGCGCAACGCCCACTTTTAAAATAGCCCCAATTTTCTCTAAGAGTATGGGATTGATTTCATATATCTCCATACCTTGTTCGAGTACTCTACCATGAACACTTCCAGAGATATGCAGTATGAAAAATTCGGTTTGTATGGAAGGTGCCACGCCCCCTGCACCTAGCGGTATGAATGTACTTTACATCCGATTCTTATACCTCCCATATATACGCAAAAAAATTTTATAAAGATGGGTCGGACCGTTTAGGAGGAGTTCGACCACAAACACCGTGACACGAGATTTTTATATATTGGATTTCAAAAACGATCTTGTGTTCAACTCCAATGAAAATGTAATGACAAAAATTTAAAATTTTCGGCTTAATAAATGAATATTTGAAACAAACATGCTTAAATCTGATCGGAACTAAATAATTTATGCTGTAATATGAACATAGTTTTAAAATTATTGGTGACATGCATAATTTAGAATTTTCAACAAATTTCATGAAAAGCAAACAATTAATTAAACTAAAATTAAACTTTTACTTAAAAAGCAATCAGAAAGGCTTTTGGAAATACGAAGTTAACGCCAATAATACGCGGAAATACTAAGAAATATGGAAAAAGATTTTTTAACAATTTTTTTCGTAGCTTAGTACCTAGTACCTAGTTAAATTGCATATTAGTTTTGAAATTTTCACGTAAAAAATACAAAAATTTACTAGCTTAAATTAAATGTTTTTTTAAAAACCCAACAGTTTTAATTAGATATACTCCTAAAGACTAAGTAAATCAGAAAGACTTGTGGAAATTCAAGGTTAACGCTAGTAATACGCGGTAAAATTAAGGAAAATGAAAAACAATTTTCTTAGAAAATTTACGTGATGGAAGTTTTGCATAATTTTGCCTACTCAAATCACTAATAAATTGTTTATGGATGAAACCATCGTTATAACCGATATAAAAAAGTATTAGAGATATCCTTATTTTCGATAATCTTCAGTTCTGGAGGTAGCTGGAAAAAACATTAGACCACCCTTATGTACTAATGTATAGGATATATTTACTTATATGGTTCTCTAAACTCAAATTAAAATATATTTCAATATTTTTTTCAGTTCCGATTACTCTTCGTTCTCGAATGCCGGAGTGATGGGCAACAGCTTGGGAGTGTTGTACGTGATTTTTGGCGCCTTAGTTATGTACTTGGTCACTGAGTCTTCCTACAAACGGAAACCATTGCCGGAGGATACCATTCTGTTGACGGGCGCAAATGAGTAGACGCTGACGTAACACTGCATACGAAGGGGGGGAACGTTCGAAGATAGTGAAAAAATTACAACTTTATGTTCTTACTTAACTTTGTCTTTCTACGCTATTACGTTTTTACGTTAGAACACATTACGTTTATACGGACAAGATTACCGCGAGGTGCTAAGACAACGATGCAAACATACATATGTATATGCGGACATATGCACTTACATATGTTAAAATAAATGCACAATCAAACGCACATTTTTATAAAAAGATGTTTGTCGAAAAATTGGGTGCTTAATCAATTTTAAAATTTCGGTGCTTATCTTAAGTATTTTCTGTTTACTGATACATATTTGTGTATTTATTTGTTTTACGCAACTAAACATACATACTATATACTGATATATTTATATACATACATATTTAAATATAGCATATACATATGTACTAATTTATATTTCCAAATGGTCTGGGGAGGCCGTATACCTACAGCACAAAAACTGTGGTGCTTGTTAAGGTTCGTAAGCGCTTAATGCAATTTACACAAATACATATCGTCATTTCAAGTACAAAACCGCGTAACTGACATTTTTTGCCAAAACCTGGATTTGCTTACCGAAGCTCTTGGCTCAAGCCTTATCCATTCGTCCTGAAATATAGTACTAGCCAGCAATGCGATTCCCCAATAAAAGAGAGAACCATTTTACTCTCTATAAAATAATTTATGCAACCTCATATACGCGGTTTTGTATTTTAAACGACGATATATAAAGTACGTACATATGTACATTGTACACGCGTATGTATTTACCAAAATCAAGTTAATAATTAAAATTCTTAAAACAAATTTGTTGATTTACACTTTTGTAACTAATTAATTTTCTTGATCTGAGAAAAGTTTTTTTTTTTTTATTTCGAAACTGTATCTTATTTCATTTAGTAATTTCTTTTTAAAAATTTATACACATACATAATATATATATACAGATAAATATTTATAAATATGTAGACGTAAGTACATATGAATGTACTCGTATTTACAATTACATACAAACAAAAGACAAATATCCATAAGTGTTGTTGGATGTATTCATAAATTTATCCTAAGCTTATGTATGTATATATATGTTAACATTTATTAAATAAAGAAATATTTAAAGCTGACACAAACGGAAGTTATTAAATAAACGGGGCACTGAACAAGTTCTTAGACATGACCCATTATTGCGAAGAAAGGAGCGGCCAATTGTTTCGAAGTGCTTCCTGCGCGAACACCATTTGTTGGTTTTTTTTCTTATTTTGGAAAATCTATAGAACTGATCTTTGGTCTGGCTCATATGTATATGAACAAATCTCACGAGTTGTTTTCTAGTGTCACTCACTTCTTTCACCAGAAAAAAAAACGCTAAAGAATTCTTTCATTTATTGCAATCAGTTTGGGAAGTCTTCAATTGGAATGTTCATATCAGAGCAATGGAAGTTGGCATCAAATACAACATATGTATCTGTGAAGTTTACTTCAAAATGTTAAAATTAAACGATGCCAAAACGAACGAATCTAATATAATAAAACTAGTGTGTCACAAAATGAAAAACAAAATACATTGAGTAAAAGATGAATAAGATGAATATGATTTCAGAAACCAAAATTCCATTTTTACAATTTTTATTGGCACCATCGAAATGCATTTCTCACAAACTTCGAATTTTTTCGTTAAAATTTTTTGTTTTCTTAAATCGTTAGCACATGTCTAAAATTTTTAGTATACATTCCTTCAGCTTCTAGAATACGAGATTCCACGTGATGCAAGGTTTTAAAGCAACGCACCACACATTTTTACGATTTTTACGCGTTTTTTTTTTGGAAGTGGATTGTGGGCGTAATTTTAGTCCGATCTCGAAAGCTTTCAACGTATAGCTTTTTTTGCAATAATTGTATTGAGTTTAGTTCAAATTAATAAATCAGTTACCGAGATACACATACAGTGAACCAAATAAAAACTGTGATGGGACATTTTAGTAAGTTTTGGCTATTTTTAATTAGTTAATTTAATGTGTATTACTTTTTTGTGAAAGTATAGCTGATTAATTAACAAACACGATGTAATTCCAAATTTCAGACTTTGTGCAAAAATTATAAAAAATCTGCAAATTTGGACCAAAATTTCTAACTTCTTTCATTTGACATCTCATTTTCGAGAATCGAACGAACGGTGCAGATCTGATGACTTGAACAAAAATACCTTTGGGTAATATATTTGTATGTATATTGGTTTTCTTTATCGCTCTGTAACTTTTTAATGAACAAATAAAAAGTTGTGCCAGAGGATCATAGTTCAATAGTATATTGTACAATAAAGCACACTGCAATTGTTTATTTAACCATTTTTAATACTAAAGATTTTTTATTTATCCCCTATTGCATTTTCTGGAGGTTTTGGCGGATCTATAAAATATCGTTACTATGAAAAAATGGTTAAATAAATAATTGCGTATTATTATTGGGAATCTCCTGAAGAGAAACAGACTTTTCCGATCGAATAATATTGATTTTAAAAAATTCTATACCATTTTTACGAAAAGTTGTTTTTTTCCTATATAAAATACATGGAAAACTTTGAGCGCTTTGAACGACCTCCAAATATTTTCTTATTTCAAAATAAAAAAAACGGGCATATTTTTTCGGTATAGAACAATCTTAGGGGGTGAGAGCATTAAAATTCCGACTTTACTTTTTCACGTGCATTTTTGGACCACCCTAAAACACATACTTCAAACGGGTTGCATTCGATTCTGCTCTCCAAATAATCTTAATATGTAGCTCATTATAAACTCAAACAGGAACAATCAATGCACAAAATTTGGTAACGTAAAAATAAAAAAATGATAGGAGAGTCACACTTTTATCTGTGAAAATTTCCAAATTTTATTTCTGAATTATATCATACATGTAACGCAGTAAGAGCTAGTACGGTCCGAAAACATTACAGTACAGATATATCAATAAACACGTACGAAAGAAAATGAACACATACGTTTATAAATAAACATGTACACAACACATATACAAAAACGGCACTCAAGTACACAATACATTGACAAAAACGGTACAAGACTATCTCGCTTTGATTTCGGAATGCTTACACATTAAGAAGTTAGCTTACTGCCAATATAGAAGTATTACATATATGTATGAATTATGTATATGCATATTTGGTTTGAATATATGTACGGTTGTAATTTTTTTGGACTTACATAACATATGTAACCTAATTTTTGTTAATAAAGGTGCGAAAATTATGCATCCGAATAAAAACTGTCGAGTCATGCGAAAATTCGAACTAATTGAGAATTGCCCATATATATGAAGAAAGTAATACATATATATGTATGTTCATAAGTTATACTGTGTAAAAATCTTAAAGGCCAATATTTAATCACTTTTAAAAAATATGACTTCTAATTAAGGCGTGCGAGTAAACGTGTTAGATGATTGCGTATGGTGTTACGGGGCGTATACGTTACATACGCAACTACGGGTATATGAGCAGGGATGGGCGTTTTTGAATGAATTATTATTCAAATAAAAAATTAAATTTTATTCATAATTTTTCTAATTTACTTGAACGATGAATAAAAATTTAGTCGTTATTTAAAATTACTTGAATGAAGAATACAAATTTATTAGTTATTTGAAATTACTTGAATGAAGAATAAAAATTTATTCGTCATTCAAAATTGTTGAAATGATGAATGAAAACTTATTCTTATATATTTTTTTTCAATTATTCATTTTCCTGATTACGCCCATCCCTGTATATGAGCACGAGTGGTAATTTTTACTTTTTTAGTATATCTGTTTCAAACTTTCATTTAAATACAATTTCGCGTTGGAAACTGCTAGCGAAGTACGATACAACCACGCTTGAATGCATTATACAAATTACAAACACTGGCCCTTGAACAAAAGTCAAAACAAGTGCATCGATGCTCTATTGCACAGTGGTTCAGCCGGAGGTCAGAACTCAAAAATATGCATATTGTCTAACCTATGATTGATTGACAGGCAATCAGTCAATATTAATGGTACTTTATTAAAGTGCCTTTTTTTTTTGCGATAAAAAATTGTTTAGATTACTACTGTGTTTTGAGTGACATAATTCTTCTAACTTTATATTTATTTTATGAAAAATGTGGAATTTATTCAAGAAACGCTGTAATGGGAATTCAAGACAAAGGTAAGTGCTCCTATTTAGAACAATAATTACCAATATTTATTTTGCCCTTAATTAATTCCTGTTTTATTTTTTACATAAACTTTTAAAAACCCTGTCACTCAGTGCCACTCTTAATTTTTTTTAATGAAGAACCATTTCCTGTAGATTAAAATAATATATATTTTAGCTGCACGTTTTTGCACGGTTATTTTATACACGCCCGCTACTAGCCGAACCTAAATACATCTTTTACCAGCTTTTAAGCTTTTTTTACAAGATTTAACAAACTTCCCGATAAGATATGTAGAGGCTTGACACTGCAAACTTAGCTCAGAACCCGAGGACAATGCAATTCGAAAGATGAACTAATCCACTAGGTGGCGCGGGTGTCGAGATATTTGAAACCCCGTATTTATGGTCCAATTTGGTTCATATTGATAACGTGTATTACTTCTATGGAAAGAAATAGCACCACAAAAATTGTGCCGTAAATATAAATGTTTATTTTTTTAACAACTAATAAAAGCTTGTTTAGTAAAATTAATTACTTGTTTTTTTATTAACAGGTAATTAATCCATTTGCTCCTTTTCAAAGAATGAAGTGTTTGAGTTCTGATATCTCCTGAGTGGTACAGAAGTGGAAAAAAATGAGAAAGTTTTGGGACATCTATTAGAAGTATTGCCAGATTTAGAAAATGTGTATACCCGTGATATTGATTTGCGTACCAAAAATATATGTAAAAGGCTTCGACGGTTTTGGAAAGAGGCTCATGGGTGAAAGAAAACGGGAAAAGCAAGCATTTGAACTGGTTGGACGTGATAAGTTGTATTTTTACCAAAACATGCATCAACAAGTGAACGGCCTGTATCATGGTGGAATAATAACAAGGTGTTGTCAGTTACTTAACCTCACTTTTTCGGCAGGTCTATTCCGGTCACGCATTTTAAAGTAGTAGAAAAGGTATTCATTATTTACTACTTTTAATCCGTTGGTGCATACTATTTCAAATTAAATGTAGAAATATTTATAATTGCAGGCTTATAAGCCTGAATATATGTTTATATCGGCAGCTCCACACAGCTTGGACATATATTGTAACTTTAAAAAAGTAAAGGCGGTAAAATAAGGCAATTTCCTATAAGACTGTAAATGATTTTTTAAATAGATTAAAGCACATAAATATCGATAATATAAGCAAATTCCTAATTTAACCATGCAGTCACTCTATTCTAGCGTATCAGTAGTCCATTTGGCTCAATATTATGACAATGCAGCAAAAGTTCTCTTCTATATATATAAAATAATAGACGTTTTCGTTGTTCGGAGTTAACTAAAAAACAACTGAATAGATTTCAGTCAAATTTTCAGAGGTTAGCCCTTGCATATATGGTCTTATTATAGGCTCACAGAAAACTCGGTAGGTGGCGCTGGGGTCGAGTTATTTATAAAAATTGTATTTATGAACCGATTACTTTTAAATTCAAAATGCAAGCTACCAGCATATTGGCAAAAACGTTTACCAAAAATAGACCTGCTAGGGGGCGCGGGAGTCGAGTTATTTATAAAAGTCGTATTTATGAACCGATTTCTTTCAAATTCAACAGGTATAGTTTCAGCATAGTGGAAAATACGTTTACCGAAAACGGAGCCGCTAGGTGGCGCGGGAGGCGAGTTATTTATAAAAGTTGCATTTATGAACCTATTTTGTTAATACCATATATGTAATACTCCTATATTGGCAGTAAGAGCTAGTACTGTCGGAAAACACTACAGTACAGATATATCAATAAACACGTACGAAAGAAAAGGAACACATACGTTTATAAATAAACATGTACACAACACATATACAAAAACGGCACTCAAGTACACAATACATAGACAAAAACGGTACTAGACTGTCTCGCTTTGATTTCGGAATGCTTACACATTGAGAAGTTAGCTTACTGCTAATATAGAAGTATTACATATATGGTTAATACACATTCGAAAAGTTTATTACTTTCATGATGATTTTTTTCATTCTAAACATATTCAGCCTTATAATGAGTTGCATCTTCCCTGAACCGGTTCACTTTTCGCTTTTGGTTTCCATGGGCAAAACTCCGGATAAGGAAGATTATATACATAAAATGATAGCCATTTCCGTTTTTCGGACTAAACTCAAAAATCACTCAATAGAGCCCAGTCAAATTGTCGGAGGTCCTATTATAGGCTACTAGAAAACACGCTGGTGGCGCTGGAGTGGAGTTACTTATAAAAGTCGTATTTATTATCGGATTTCGTTCAAATTCGCAGCGTGACTACCTGTATGATGAAAAATTCCTTTGCTATAAATGGAGCCTCTGGAGTTTAGGTATTTAGAAAATCTGTATTTTTTATAAAATCTGATTGGAATTCATAATGCGTATTCATTTCATGACAAGCAAAGGTTTTGCAGAAAAGGCACCCAATGGATGGCGCTGCACCTGAAATATATAGAAGCCCCCACGGGGTTTGTTCTGCTTTGACCCAATGTTTATTTTAGACCAAGTTCTTTAAAAATCGCGATAAAACGAATTACTAAAATGGAACATTTTAGATACTCTTTCCCAACGAATAGTAGTATAAAAATTAAGATCGGCAGCACTGAAAATAAGCATGCCGATCTTGTCAAAATTACAACAAACACGTCGCTACTGACAACACCTTGTTATTATTCCACCATGGGCCTGTATAATGTTTGTTGTAAACTTTAGAAAATTCAAGCAAAAGTGTTTCGACAGTGACGAAGTGCTTTCTATTATAACTGAAGCGAAACTCACCAAAAATCAGAATCTATTAATTAGAAATTTTTTTAATTCAAGAAAAAATTCTGTGTTGCCATCGTATCACAAAGTCATTTTCTTGTGTTTAGTTTAGTTTATTTCTTAGTTTTTAGTTAAAATGGCTTAGTGTTTCGCTTAAATTCAGCTGTACCATACCTACGACCTTTTAATAAAAATCTATTGGCTTTATAAAAATCACATTTTCGACTCATACATTTTTCAAAATACCAATCTGAGAAATTTGGGGTTTTTATATAGTAAAATATCGTAGAATTTGTATCTTTCGAAAATACCAATAATAGCTTACCTAGAGTGGAGAATAGTTTTTGCAAAATTTAATTTTTTAGTCACAATTGCAACTCTGCCAATTTCACATTAGCAACACTGTAAAACCATTGATGCCAGCAATCAGGCGAATTTAATTCGCCTAGTCAGTACAGTTGGGAAGTTCACGAACTAGTTAGTTCAACGCGGTAGATCATTGAATTGATCGAACGAACTAGTTCGAAATTCTAAATGAACTATTCGCTCCAGATTGCCGTTTTTTTAAATTTTATTTATACATATTGAATAATGCAATTATTTATTCATTTATTATTATGAAACTATGATATTAAACATTAAATAATAATAGTATATACATATATGTTTAACTAAAAATAAATTGGCTTCGAATAATTACGATAAAAAAGGAGACAATTTTGATGAATTATTTTTTTTTAAATTGTTGAATTTTTGTGGGTTTTGTACAAAGTTTTAAACTTTGACTTATTGGCGTAAGTTATGCATTAATATATATTTTTATAAAAAAATCAGTGAAAAAATGTATCATTTATATATTGTATGTACAATCAATATTGTATGTACAACAAAGAAGCAATTGGATTAAAAAATTAGAGTTTTTTTAATAGAATCATGCCAGTGCGCGGAGAAATATAACGGGAGTTGGCATCCCTAGACTGTACTAAGTTTGGATGAAATCGCTTAGGTGGGTACACACATTTCATGAAAAGTGGGCTTGACCACGCCCATTTTAAAAAATTTATTTAATACTACATTTTTTTATTAAAGTTCACCCCTTATATCGATTTTTAGTAATTTTGCTGCAGTAGTTACTTAAATATCGCAGTTTTCGTATTTTCCAAAAATACCGCTATACGGAAGGCAAGCGCTTTTGATAGAAGCAACATTTTGATATGAAAGAAAATATTTTTTAAAGCTAATGTAATTCTCTTTCACGGAAAAGTATTGTCATTGAGCCACAATTACTCCTTGACCTTAAAAAAATTGGTCTAATATAGTGTTCTTCGAAAAAAAACATGCAAAATCCACCGGATTTATTAAAAAAAAAAAAATATAAAAAATCGTGTATGTTTTATTATACTAATAATAGATTTTTGAGACGAAAAACATGATTCCTCTGTTTAAAAATTGAAAAAAAATTCAACACCTCAGTTTAACAAATGAATTATTTATTGCACTTTTTTATTTGCATGTAGCTGTGCATTCTTCTCATAATTATAAATCACTCGAACAACAAGTAGGTTATAGTGCTATTCAATCTCTTAAATTTGAGTCATGGAAGAATTTTTTAGGCTCCCTGAGAGCCAAGTTATAACAATTTTAACCCAAACTTCGAAACTGCTGTACGAGTTTTTACTCTGAAATTATAAAGAAAATTTGCAAAAACGTCCAATGAAATTTCGAAGTTTAACTTCAGAATCCGATGGAAAACCGAAACGTTTTTCTTTGATGAGGCACCCTAATGTGCATGTTAAAGGTTCATCACAATCAACTTCGCCGGTCGCACTCGTCGTAAAACTGTAGGCCCTCCCCTTTGTGTGACACAAGTCAGAGGAGAAGCTCGGCCAAACACTAACATATTGTGTAAGTGCCAATCTATTGTTATTATTAGGTAGCATTTTAAACAATTCAATTACTTGCTTGTATTACGTTGACTAAATATGTTAAAATTAACAAACAGTTGTCTCTTCGTCTGCTATAACATCCTCCAACTTCGCCGACATTTGGTCAATCTTTACGAAATTCAAAGATTCGTCAACGTTTACAAAATACGTAGGTATATGACCACGTCCTTTCACGAGTGTATACCCCCGATAAGTACACTTAACATTATAAGTTTTCAATATTTTTGCTGTATTCTCTGTAACTTGAATGGCGCCGGCGATACCAGTGGAATCCATACGCGATGCCATATTCACCGCATTTCCCCAAATGTCATAATGAGGTTTATAAGAGCCCACTACTCCCGCCATCACAGGGCCGTTCGAGATGCCTTAAAAAAAATCCAAAAAATTAATTATGATTAACAACAAATAAGCATTCGTTATTACCAATTCGCAAAGCACCTCTGTCCTCGTCATCGTCTTCGCATTGCAAATTCTCGACGTTAAAGGACTTCATTGTGCGCATCAGATCCATAGCGAACTCCAGCATTATGAATACTACATCGTTATATTCCTCGGACTTAGAGCTCTTTTTATTGTGGCCCTCGTACTCCTGTAGACGTATGCTTTGAGCGCCTTTGCTTGTTGTAGGCAGCTCCTCATCATCGACAACTTCAAATCCTTCTTCTGTGTCATGTTGTCTGCTTGCTGGAATAAAATATTTTATATATAAGTTCTATCGAGCGTTCTCCTTTCTAAATTTCTTACAATAATGGCTTCTTCGCCCATTGGGCAGCAGCGAGGAGCTGCGATAAGCTGTTTGAGTTTTTCGGTGCTCTGATCGTTTTGGATCCAGACCACATGCTGCCATATAAGTCCAGCCGGCCACTTTGATTTTTTCTACCTTTCTCGAGCCTCGATAAGTACTCAACTAGAAAAAGATGATGTAAGTTTTCTATTTATTCAAAATATTAGAACTTTTTGGTTAAAAATATGCACACATATGTAAATATGTACATATGTAGACTTTAGACTATTATCTACTCGCACTTTACAAATCATGTACGTTAGTTACATTTACAGACTCGGTTCGGATTATAGAAGAGACTGATGTTGGCGCACGCTATAAAAACTTATTGACAGTGTTCTCGCTGGCAAGACCTATAACAGCGGTCAAATAGCAATTTGGGACTGGAATATACATATGTATGGGAAAAAGAAGTCTGATGTGACTTATTTGATGTAAGGAAAATATGATGAAACCAAAGACTGAACCTCAGAATTCTGTTTGGCGTCTCTAGATTAATAGCGGGTTGAGAAAGATTCTTTGCGACACAGTCGACAAATTAAGCCTTCGCAATGTATTTTTTGCTAAGGACTGAGCCTGAGCGACTTCCAAGGGACCAGAAGCCCATAGATGCTTCCGGATAAACCCTAAAAGAACAATAAATCAACGTTTGTGATCGGCGGAAGCTCCATTTCCTATGCTTTTAATGATCCGAGAACCAATCAAGATATGCAGGTACATTCAAAAACAACACGAAGAAAGCTTAGCGTCGTAAAAATTAAAGCACATTCAAAAACCACTGGTAGGATAAGAAGGAAAGAAAACATAAAATTAGTACGCAACTCGACCAAAAGGGGCGACACAGGTTTCATGAACAGCGACGTGGTTGCTGAAGTTCTGCGCCCATTTCCACTTGTCAGGTTGACGTAACCGGAACGACCCGGATTTATATCTGGCTAAGGACTGTCACTCCCGCAACGTTTTCAAAAACTATAAAGAATTTGTAGGCCGTTACAACAGCAATAGCGACATATACTTTGAAAGCCGGAATCTGAGCCTGCTTTATTTGTACTCGTCTAGGACCGAATTCGAATAGCTGCAGAGGGGTTCAAAAATAATGAACTATTTGAATGCGGTAGACTGTAAGGTTCATGAGCTAATTCATATGCAGAATATGATTGAACGGACCAATGTCTCTTTGCTGAAGTTAAGACGGATTCACCGTTCGTGCCCGGACACTTTTTGTTAGTAATTTTACGCGTTCCTCTCCCACTCTGTCTCATTGAGAGCGCGACAAAAATGTGATTTTCTGTCCGAACGACTTGATGGTTCTGGTTGCCGCGTTCTTCTTTAAGGCCAGTATGCAGCTCTCAAGAAAAGCAAAAACTCCATATAAAAATGGTTAAGAAATCTTCTTGTGTTAAATTTACTTGAGGCAGTACGCAGTTCTTAAGAACTTTGCTACGCTTTCTACTGCGGTTTTCTAAAGTTTCTTTGGCGAAAAAAGAGCAAAAGGTAACGCATGTTTGCAACAGAAATATATGCCCGTTCCATTATTTATTGAGGAAAGAGTGAGGCAACGGTATCCGATGTCAAAATTTCTTGGACATACACACAAAATAATGGAAATTTTTTTCTTGGCCGTTTCCTTGAGAGCTGCATACTGGCCTTTATATGCGTTTGCAGCGAGTTGCTTGTATTATTTGCCTTCAAAATCGTATGTAGGCAACAATATCATCAGCTGTTGGCTTCAGAACAAAATAAAATGTGCCGAACTGAACGGTGAAACGTACTTCAGTACCCTCTCCGGAAAAAATGTTTTCGAGAGCAAATAAAAAGTTGTCCGGATACGAACGGTGAATCCGCCTTTAAAGTTGGAACTGTCTAATCCACAAACCGTGAAGAAGACTGATTAAAAGAATGTCAACTCATTGGACCCTACGGCTGATCTCAGATTCCTCTAAAAGCCACTAAGAGCTGACACTTATTTACTTCGGGAAACCCCGAAAATCCAACCCGCAACCTTGGACTGAGTAGACAGTAACGTAGCAAATCCATTTCTTGGCGAGCAAAATATTGTATCCCTCCATATCTTGGCCTCGTAGTTAAACTAATTGTATATTTGTTGTACTCATACCCAACTTGCCTATATCTGGCTGTTGTCCGTTTTTTTTTAATTTTTTTTGGGTGTAAGCCAGATTTGAATAACTTTATAGAAATTTGGTAACTTTCCAACTTTTGATCTGGGTCTTGAACACAAGTTTAAGTGGCCATCCAGAACGATAGTTTGTTCCCAATCGTGCCTACGCTAAGACCGAATATTGACTCTTAGCAACACAGCAGCTAAACATATGTAGGTAATGGGGCTTTGCCTCAAATGAGTAATTTTGGACTGTACGGGACTAACAGTGTTTTACAAACATGTTAATTGAGTGTTCTGAAATCCCAAAACTTACCACTTCGTCAAAGTCACAAATAATCTCGTTTAAAACTCGTATGCCCACTTGTTCTGTGTCATAATTTCGTATTGTTGCAAACATAACGGCAACATTATCGTACTCCTCATAGTAGAGCTCATTTGTCATCTGTCGCGACATGTAAATATCGGCTGTAATGAGTAAGAGAATTGTGTACCTACATATGTCATAAAGTTTTGCGGTGATAGGAAACCTTAACCACTCACCAACGTGTGACGGTAAAATATTGTTGATAAGTATCGAAATTGTCTCATTTGTAAATTTAGCATCATCCTGCTTCTTAAGTAGTTGTCGTTTCCAACTAAAAGTAAAATAGATATTATTGTTGATGACTTTTAATTAATTTGTTTAATGCATTTTTTTATAATATGGGTTCAAGTTAGAGATGGGCGCGTGAGTGATTTTGGTTCACGTTCACGCACGCTCACGTTGATGGTTTACAATATATTTGTTTAAAAATAATATTTTGTCGACTTCGCGCTCGCGTCCCTCGCCCCCTCCCCTCCTTTCGCAATTATGCACTGCTGGCATTATGACCGTTAAGAAAAAAGAATAATAATAAAATGACACTAGTTCACTTCTGAAACTGCTTTTTAATGTCCAAGTAATGGGAATTATTGCGTATGGTGTTATTGCATGCACCCCACCCATGGCGGAATTATACCAGGAGAAGTAATATTAGAGTGAGAAGAAATATTTTGACACTGCCTTATTTGAAAACATGCCTATAAAATGTGACTACATATAAGACAGCCGAATGTCAGAAAATAAAGCGAGAAAGCTTATTACTTCACCCGTTTATTGCGCCATTCATCCCACCTGCTTGTACCGAGTATACGTTCAAATTTAGAAGTCTGAGAGTAGGTAAAATTTTACATATTTTTACATCACTATTTCGTACCGCATGTTCGCTTCGTCTTCGTAAACGAAATCCACATTTCGGATATGGTGAAACCAGTGATGATAATGCAGAAATTTTAACTGAAGATAAAACTCAAAACAATAAGGCAGCCGAATGACGGAAAATAAAGCGAGACGCTGTTTTATTAACCGACTTCCAAAAAAGGAGGAGGTTATCAGTTCGTCGGAATATTTTTTTTTTTTATGTATGTTACCCCATAACTTTGGACCACGTCAACCGATTTCGATTCTTTTTGCATCGGAAAGGTAGTGTCTCAGAGGTGGTCCTATACTAATCTGGTTGAGATCCGATCAGTGGATCATGAGATATATATATATTTTTTTTATATGGGAGTTGAAGTCGGTTTTTTTTTTGCTAAAAATTACTTGTAACTTCACCTGTTTATTGCGCCATGGTTCCATGCAAACATTTTAAGGTTTTCCAGCAATGTTTTCAACACATTTAAAAAAGCATGCAGATAAAATTCATGCAAAAGCGCTATGTCCAATTTGCTGAGCAGTTATTAAAGACGACTCTTTTCCTATATTTTGTTAGACTTTTCATAAGTAAAAATATTTTGTGAATATTACTTTCTTCATATGAATTATATCACATTTTTTGTTTAATTGTATTTTTGGAATAAACAAAGTTCTTTTTCTTTCTGGTCGGTAAACTGTTTTTGTAACAAATAGTATAAATAAGCAATGGGAAATAAGGCAAGATTTGTTTTAGTTCCAACCTTTGTTGGAAATAAAGAAAAACTCAGATTTTTAAAATTGAAATAAAACAAATTTTGGGTTATTGCCGTTTGTGTTATTTCACCCCTCCTAACCTAACTTCACCTATAGTCTGGCGACCTTACTAGTCTGATTAGAAAATACCAAAAGGGAAGATTAAACACTATTTTATTTGGCGCTACTCGGGTTTTGCGAATGAGAAGTTTTGAGTATTTTCGAGGGACATGGATATATTCTAAAGAGCTTTCGGTATTGTTTCTAGGCTTCAGAGTTGTTAATGGATCTTTTGGGAGTTTTCGTCTGTTCTCGTAATTTTTTAGGAGTTTTTGTTACCTTTCTGCAGTTTTTTCGGTAATTTTCCCGTTTAAATAATTTGACTTTACTTTTTTTAATATAAAAAAAATAGTCGGCATTTCTTGCTTGAAACTTTTGCCAATATTTAACCGACTTCAAAAAACGGAGAAGATTATCAATTCGTCGGAATATTTTATTTTTATTTTTTTATTTGTTTTTTTTTTTTGTATGTTACCGCATAACCACGTCAACCGATTTCCATAATTTCGTTTCCATCGGAAAAGGTAGTGTTTCACAGGTGGTCCCATACTAATTTGGTTTCGATCTGATCATTGGATCATGAAAAATTTAACGGTACCCCTAAACTTGAATATTAGAATCGAAGTCAGTTGTGTTTTTTGCTTAAAAATTACTTGTTCTTATTATCTTTTCATTGTAAAATCGATACTAGGTACAGTCGTATGAAGTTTCCCGTACAGATATGTAAATTTCAAAATTATTTGCCAATGGGTTAGGTGGAAACAAGTGCTCGGGAAATTCAAAAGTCTTTAGGTCCAATATGCTTAAATACTTCACCACTCATATTTCTTCAATGTAAGATCGGACGAAGTGCAATAATAGGAGTAAGCGCCAACTGAATTTATTGACAGATATAAGAGTTGTTGGTGGTGTCTTCTGCGAGAAACTTCCATTAACCTCATTCACTGTGTTTTTCAAACGAAGATGCTTACAATGCTTAGATGCTTACAAGTCCAATACCTGTCAAGAATGTGAACATATGTATACCCCGATAGCTTAGCGGCAATAACAGCCTTTGGGTCTACGATGATAAGCTCGAAAATTGTCACGGAGTGCCCGACATACCTTTCGACCGCATCAGAATACCAACGAGCAAACTCAGATGAGTTTCAGGCTATAGCCATATTTGGTGAAAACTGCGTGCCGATGAACTGTCAAAAGCATTTTCGAGGGGTTGTCGCCGGTTAAAGGTTAAAAGTATCGGGATTTATTGGAAATCTGGGAATGAAAGGTAGCAAGTGCTTCTGGTCAGGGCTAGATCCGAGGTCCTCTAAAAGGCCCTGTAAATTAAACAGGACTGGTGGAATTCTTAACAGACGGTTTTTTTTTTTTGTAAGGCTCAGCATCACCTCAAGCTCTTACAGTAACAACCGCATGGAAGGTGATGAGGTGGGATCATATAAGCATCTGCACCTTGGCCGTTATGCTAGCTTAAGTAATAAACTTCTTGGGTCTCCTTTTTTCACTCCAGATAAGGCTCCAGGAATAGATTTTAGTCGGTTGTGGGCATATGCTACTTTATTATTTACTACCAAAACTTAAGCGCTGCAGTTCGGTTCTCTTCGGTAGTTGACTGCACTCCCAATCCTGAAATCGTGTCACAAATAACTGATTTTTAGTTTCAGCTCTAAGTATGCCTGTTGCCATAGACCCAATATAACCTAACCTAAACTAGAAATGAAATGTCTCCATGAAAAGTTTGGAAATAGAAGAAGCCCGTGCATGAAGTGCATAATATGGGGTTTGATTCTGCATTTTTTTTTACCTATCTGCAGCTGCTTACAGGTTAGTACCGCGGCAAATGCAAAACGCTTCTCTTAGTTTCGGTATATTAAGAAGTACCTACATAAATTAAACCCCATTTTGAGAGGGTAGTTTAAATTAGGGACTTCTAATACCTAAGGATTATTATCTCGCCTGTATAAGCTAAGATTTCACCACGAGCAGCCTATAAAGCCCACATCCCCTGTACGCTGGGAGATAATACCAAGCTTCTGTTTAAAATATTAAATAATAGTATCCTGGATGACCAAATTTGGGAATAATCAATACTTTCGGAAGAATACTTTCCTTTAGTCTTACTTTCTGTATACATATGTACACATGTAAATTATTATAATAAGTGATATTATATTAAATGTCTTCTAATTTTATACAGAAGCTGATGAAGGACTGAAGACATTCCGTTGGTCTTAGTGCCAAAGCTATAAACTAACATAAAAGCAAATATGTAACGTGTAAATGGGCGACTTGATACTCACTTATAATCAACTTTCGCTATGAACTCCGTCTGCCTATCCATTAGATGAAATATACCCAGCGTTATGCACATCACAAATATATGTGAATATTCTGGATATAAGTGATCGTTAGTGCTAAGGCTCTGGCCATAAACATAACTATACGAGAGCGTTACGACTACTGAGTAAAAAATTAATGTGAAAACACCAACACTCAATTTGAGTACGAATGGAATCCGTGTAAATAGGAAGGTTATGCAAATGGTCAACATAAAACACTCTGTGATAGCCTAAGGGAAAGTATTTAATTATAAAAAGTTCACCATCAACTAAGTATTTGACGAACCCAAGCATTGAATGTAGAAACATCATGCCTGGCGACACGCAAATTCTGCACATTAGCTGCATCATTTATATGATTACCGAAATATATCTGAAAAAAAAACAACATATTAGCTACATATTTAGTACCATGGAAAATAAACTATTGAGCGCCTATCACTTATCATACCAATTGCAAGATAATGCCAGTGGAGTGCAGGATAAGCACCACTAAGTACATGCCAATGCGAACAATGATGTTACTTTGAATGCGCTCCGATAGTTTATAGAGACATTTGCTGACTTTTCTCATTGGCTTCGATGACTCTGTCTCGCTAATAAACATTATCCAAAGCTTTTTGTACCAAACCAAGGCCAATAGCAATATCATTACAATGTTGCTGATTCCAACTAGTATCCAAAACGCTAATGTTTGCCTAATGAATTATGAAATGGTATTTGATTAAATGTGAGTTTAAGATATTACTATTGTATGTATAATCGTTTGGTCACAAATCGTTGCAAGTGAGCTATAAATTTCAATTTGTATTTTACTTACGACGTATTGACCGCCTGCATTATAATGGCACACAACAGCGTTATGTACGAAACGAAAACGCTGTACTTGAGCATAATATCTGGCTGCTTCATGAACATGATTTCCCAGCGCCAGTCTTTGAAAAATAAAAATAGCGACGTAATATTATTTCGAAACCGTTGTTCTTCCATTTCATCTTGGGTTGAGTGCTTCTCATGACCGAAACATATTTTGGAAAACCTGGAACCAAATAACGATAGATATTAGGTTTCGTTAGGTTGTCGTGGCCGCCCGAGAGGGGCTCAAGTAGACATTTAATTAGATTGTCCATTATGTTACCACAATGTATAGATTTTTTTTTAAATAAAAACTACAGGTAATCTACGTTAAGTTGAGAAAAGCACTAAGTGCTTAAAACAAAATTTCCGCTGTCAGCTGATATCCATTCCAGAGATTTCATCGGGAGTGTAGACGAAATGCGCCCCAGGGGTGTAAACCTTAGTTTGGCGAATGCCGGACAACTGAAAAGGAAGTGGATACTATTAAGTCGCACCGTGAGGGTTTCTAAAGGACAATGTCCGGTTAGTACAACTGTGAGAGTTGACGCTTAGCCAGCTGCTGAAGCTTTCTTCATGGTTTTAGTCCAGCGCCCGTTGAGCCCACTGTACGCCCATCTGTCCAGTAGCAAGCCGCAGGTTGCCAACGGAATTCCGATGCCCGAGGTTTTGACCTCGACGCTACCCTGCTTAACAAAATCATCAGCTCTACAATTTTCATTGATGTCCCTGTAAGGGATTCAAAACAACTTGATCTGGAAGTATTCCGAGTCGATTGAGAGAGAAGTGAGGCATTCCCCGACCAGTTCCGATGGCACCATTACCGTTTGGCTAATCGGCAGAATACTGGTGCGTAACGATAAAAAACTTTATAATCGATCAATGTACGACATTTTCCAAAAAAATACCGCCTCAAATCTGTTCCTTAAACCCTTACGAACTCTGCGCTCCTGCTCAAAGTTTTTGTAGAAATAGTTACTCTAACTAACTTTATTATCTAGATATCTGACTTCGGCAAAGTACAATGAGTAAACATCGGAAAACCTTCCAAATAGAGCAAGGGGATACCTTTCTGGACTCGCTAAGTAATATTACACTGCTTCCCTTTCAGAGCCGGATCGCGACCTGTGTCGAAGATTGACCTGGCTGGGTCATTTATAAGCCGCAATCAGGCGATCTCCGAAAGGGCATACTCTTTACTCGGGTATAGCAAAACTCTGATCGGGTGAACTCTTGCGGTATCAATTATGGATACAAAATTATAAGCCTGAGACATCTCAACATCACCCAAGATTAGGGCTTTGATACCGGTCACGGCATCCGGTCCGGCGCTTGCTACCAGAGTTCAACCCAGGCATACCCACGTACGATCGGAGAGAAATTTCAATTTCAATTTATTTCAATATTAAATATTAGTACAGTAAGACAAAGATCTTTTATAGTACAACAAATAAATTCAATACAAACACATACATTAATACATATAATTAATTAAATCATAAATCATCTATTCATAGGTTAACAGAGATTAACTTTAAATATTAGATGGTTCATCAATTGTTACAAAAGTAGCTATATAGAATGTTTTTGAAGTTGCTTTTATTGATCTTGCTTCTAATTGCAGCGGGAATTGAATTCCAGATTCGTATAGCATTAATGAAAAATAGTCTAGTAGAGGTCTTAAAGTTAAAGAAAGGCACCATTAGATCACAGGAACGCTCAGACTTTGGAAAAATTAATTTCTCATAAAGATAAAGAGGGGTCTTTGTGCTGATGAGTTTAAAGAGAAAGATGCAGTTTCTTGCTTTTAGATAATCAGTGATATCACATCCTAACAAGCTACATCTCCACGCAGATATATGGTCATACTTCCGCAATCCATATACATAACGTGTGATTTGGTTAAATAAGGTGCCAATCTTATGGGATGACCTGGAGTCAAGCTTACTATATACCACCTCTGCATAAGTAATAATAGGTAAGATTAATTGACGCGCAAGCTTTCTTCTAGTGGGAATCGGAACAAACGGTGCCGATAGCCTTAGCTTTCTTAGAGTATCATATACTTTGTTCACAACCGAATTAACGTGATCAACGCAGCTAAGGCTAGAATTGATAACAAACCCCAAATTGGTTACTTTATCAATAAATTTTAGGGGTCTGGTTTCAAGAAAAACTGAAGGAATACTGCTAAAAGGGACTTTTGTCTTAAAGACAGGTAGAACATACGACTTCGCAGGGTTAATGGAAAGGCCGTTAAGAGCAGCCCAAAGCGAGATAGATGATAAGTCCATATTCAAATCAGATGTGAGTCTGTGCAAATCTCTTGACGGACCCGATAAATATATCTGGATGTCATCGGCATATGCATGCATTTTTACATATTGGCATGTCATGAATATGTCATTTATGAAAGCACTAAATAACAAGGGGCCCAAAATAGGCCCCTGGGGAACACCGCGTGTTACGGATTTAGTTCTAGAGGTTACTGAACCAACCTTCACAAGCTGGGTTCTACCTGTTAGGTAGCTTTTCATAAGAGATAGTGCAGTTTTACCGAACCCGAAATAATATGAAAGCTTAGAGCAGAGCAGTGTGTGATCTACGGAGTCAAATGCTTTGGAAAAGTCAAGTAAGCACAGGAGGGAAACTTCATTATTATCAAAGGGAATTCGCAAATCGTCAAGAATTTTTACTATCGCAGTTGAACAACCATGCCCTGCTCTAAAACCTGATTGAAAAGGAGATAACAAGTTCTTTTCGGACATATGTGACATGATTTGCTCTGACATTAGGGACTCAAACACTTTTGACAAGGCAGGCAAAACACTAATTGGACGGAAATCACAAGGTGAGCATGCTCGTTTGGTTTTAGCAACTGAACAAATGGAAGCGGATTTCCATAACTTTGGAAAACAAGACGTGGTAAAACAGTGGTTAATGATGTGTGTCAGTGGACTTATGATGAACGGCATAACTAACTTAATAAATCGAATTGGCAGACCATCCTCACCAACCGCATTTGAGTTAATTTTGAGGATGCATCTAGTCACATCACATTCAGATACGGAGGAAAATTCAAAAGGTACGCTCGAATACGTAGTCGACGTAGGATTTGGGGCGAATTGTGACATACAACCATTAGACGAGGCACTACAAAGAAACACATCATTCAGACTATCAACATCTAACATACACTCAGTTCTGTCTTTGGCATGTACCTGGAGATTTTTAATGTTCCGCCATAATTGACCAGAGGGGAGAGAAGGATCAAGTTTGACTGCAAAGTATTTTCGCTTTTCTGCCTTAACTACCAAGGTGGCTTTATTTCTAGCTACGCGGAAAGCATCCCAGTTAGCTGTTGTACGGTTTCTCTTCCAAGTGCGGTAAGCCTTAGTACGGGACTTGATGGCTTCCCGCACTTTACCATTAAACCAAGGGCATGTGATAGTTTTTTTATAGCGTAATGGAACATGAGTGTTATACGCAGATAATAATTTGTTGTTTAGATGTTCAAGCTTTTCATTCACGGATTCGAAATACCAACAGTCATACCAGTTTACATTGTCCAGTTCACGATACAAAGCATCCAAATCAATCGATCGGAAGTCTCGATATACATACAGTTTCTCTTCGCTTACACCATTAAAATTAATATCAAGAGAACAAAAAATCAAGAGAACAAGAAATCAATAGCAGACGGATCGAGAAACAATTGAAGTCTGTAGTCTTGTTTCAGGGTCCTATAGTAAACATTGGCCAGCAATTTTTCTTCTGTTTGACTACTATTTGAAGCAGGTACAAGCGTATCAAGCAAAACATTTTTCAACGAGTCAGTGGTCTACGTAGCCTTCAGAGGTACATACACATATATTATTGCATAAAAATTAGACTTACTGTATCCTGCCAATAGGCATTCTTTCTACTTCTCGGCTCATTTCCAAAGTCGCTTGTGTTCGAATTTGATTATACTGACTTATGCTGCTCTGCATGAAATTTGTTGGGATATCATTTCTGGGATCCTTAAAAAAAGACGTTCACTAAAACTCTCAAAAGATGTAAGTGGAATTGTTTAAATTTACACCTACAGATTTTGTTTCTAAACGTTTTCGCATTGCTGCTGCTGGTCGCCTCATCGTAATGTACGACGAAACCTGTAAATCATAATTGAATTGCCTGTGTGCATCTTAAAATTGATTACGAAAATCTGTTAGGTATGTATTCCATAGCTTATACTAACTCTTGCTGATGGCGGTTTTATTAGAAAACTCCGAATATGATATTTGCGCAAGACCGGATCATAACGCGCCTTCGCTGTGCCCTCCTCATACATAAACTCACCGTCCAGCTGTTGCAAAGTCTGTCCGCTAACATGCACACGACCCGCCTCACCAGTCGACTCCAGCCGATTGGCTATGTCCACGTCTTTGGACCAAATATCGAATTGCCACTTGTTTGCACCAATGACGCCAGACAAAATATTCCCAGAATGTACACCGATACGCATATCAATGTCCAGCTTTCGTTTCGATCTAAAGAAAATTTAATGCCAGATTCAAGCTACAGGAGACAAATTACAATTGTGGTTATGGTTACCTCACATCACGTATATCCTTTATCATACGCAAGCCAAGGTAAACGCATGATCTAGCGTGGTACTCGTTGGGGATTGGAACGCCGGCCACGCAATAATAGCAGTCACCTAAAAACTTAATACGCAAAACATCGTACTCCTGCAAATGAGATCGCTTTAATTTTGAAAGAATTTTTAATCATAGACAATATTTGCTTACCTGGGATGCTGTGTCGAATTTTACAAATAAATCGTGTAAAGTTTCCACTAATGTTTTCACATCCAGTGTTGTAGTCAGGTAAGTGTAGTTGACTACATCCGCATATAAGATTGAAACATCATCATGCGGTTCAATGAAAAGCTTTCTATGTAGAAAAAAGTAATTTTAAATAAAAACGAGTTAATAGAATGTAAAAAAAAAGAAATCTCAATGTAACGTGAACGCGAAGCCTGGCTTTGCCGAAATAAAGAAAAAAGAAACAATGTAAAAGTGCCACATTTTTAAGTAGATTTGTTCATTATCAAGTAAAGTCTTCAGGTCGATTGGTTCAAAATGAAACAAGGGCCTGCGACGCAACGGGGGCCTAAATATGATAATTTTTGGAGCTATGAAGACCGCCTGATGAATTTTATGTTAGCTAGTCTAGACATTTTTAGTTGTCGATAGTTCGTCATCTGAGACAATTATGTATTTCAAAAACGTCGTCTACATCTGTTATAGGAGGGATTCTCAGCCTTCTTTCCTAATGTATCATTGAAGTTTAGGTTAAAGTACGTTTATATATCGATGGCTTAGTGGAAGATCGACCTATCTCGGCAGCCAGTTCGAAAACACCCTATCTCAGAAAGTTTTTCAAGAACGGCCTATTTCAGAATTTTATTGAAAAACACCCTATCTCAGAATTTGGTTGAAGAACGCCCTATCTCAAACGAAAATACATTGAAGATGTGCTGAGATAGGGCGGTTTTGAATCGGCAGCTGAGACAGGGATAGGACAGCGGCTGATGGCGTTGAACCAATAACTGACGCGTTCAGATACAAGTAACCGGCCATTTAAGCACAAGAGGTGGGAAGTGAATTATGCCACTTTCAAAACAAACGGCTCATGTGTATGAAAAGTGTATACATGGCTTAGAATATAAAGTTCAATTGTAATTGGTTAATGGAAAGTTTATTACTTACTCAGTGTCCATTTGTCGCCATAGAGGTGTCGGCGGGGAGCTAAGATATATTAAAGAGAGTCAAAGTGAACCAATAGTCATAAGCCCCATTCAGACCCGTTATTAGATACAGTGACTAAAATAACCATTCACGTGTTAATTTTTTAATATTCACAATGTTTTTCAAATTTTTTGTTGTTATGTTTTTAAAAAAGTATTGTTCTTGTTACATACAACCCAAACTTTTAAATTTGTAGGGTTCCAAGCAAAGATTTTGAAAATAAATGGATTCTTGTGAAGTGGGTAAGAATACAAATTATAATTTTTTTTTTTTATTTTAATTAGTCGGGTTTGTGTTAGTTATTTAATTTTTTTTTTAAGTAATATTTTGAGCCTATATTTTTTTCCTAATTTTAAAAAAGTAGTTTCATTCGCTGTGGCTAAGTGGTTAGAGGTGCGTGCTACCACTCCATACGCCCTGGGTTCGATCCCTGCTCCGGTCAGCATCTAAATTAGGAAACGTTTTTTCTAACAGCGGTCTCCCCTCGGCAGGCAATGCAAAAACTACGAGTGCATTCCCCACAAAAAAGGTCCATTCCCCGATTCCCCACGCAAACTGAAATTCCCTGCAAATCGGGGAATTCCCCACGAGTTGGCTTTCCTGATTAGGACGTGCACCGCAAAATGGAGGAGAAACTCGGCCAAATGCTTAGCGAAATTGTAAGCACTAAAATTGTACTATTATCAATCAAATTAAAACAAAAACAAGTTTTGTCTATGTTTAAGAAGCTCAAGTTTGCGAAGACATCCTCTCGAGAACATACATACATACATATTAAACAGGCTATTTCTAAATTCTGATCCAGTGATGACAGGTATGACCATAAGCTGCCTGATGTACATACATACATACATACATACAAATCGTCGCCTGGGTAAAAGATTGTCGTATGTTAATTTCGACAGGTTTTGGGAAATCGCGATTGAAGTTTGGAATGCAATTTCTCAAAACCGCATAGATTTTCTCCAAAATCTCGAAGAATATTGCTAAATCACAATATTCTTAAATTACTTAATTTTTTTTTTATTGTTAATTAACCGACTTCCAAAAAAGGAGGAGGTTATCAGTTCGTCGGAATATTTTTTTTTATGTATGTTACCGCATAACTTTGGACCACGTCAACCGATTTCGATAATTTTTGCATCGGAAAGGTAGTGTCTCAGAGGTGGTCCTATACTAATCTGGTTAAGATCCGATCAGTGGATCATGAGATATATATATATATATATTTTTTATATGAGAGTTGAAGTCGGTTTTTTTTTTTGCTAAAAATTACTTGTTAGTTTTGAGTTTTCGAAGGATTCCATTTAGGAAAATTTTGTTGCATGCGACATTTGTCCACAATTTGGCAGCCACTTTGTATGAAATACGACAAAATGTGATCAAAATTTGTACCAAATTAACGATACTTTTTACTCAATATCTTGGAAACTAAAGGAGATATCCAAAACCTGATAACACCAATTTTATTTTAAAATATATAACTGCATCTATAACTAAAAATCGTGAAAATTGCGCTAACGACAATCTTTTATCCAAGCGACGATATGTATCTGATGATGAGTCGTAGGCTCTAAGGACTAAGTATGTGTCTGATAATGAACACACATAAGCCTCAGCCACGCGAAGCAAGAGGGAACGTGCCTAAAATTAAGTTGAAAATTAAAACTAAAAACTTTTAACTGAACCTTAGTACAAACATTAAAATTATGTAATTAACAACAAAAATAGTTTTGTACGGCCAAATCGATATAAATAGCTATGTGCGCCGACCTTTTTATTTATTTTTTTTTGATAGGACATCTACATTTTATAAAAACCATTCGAAATTTCTGTTTATATGGAGAAAAGTACAAAAGGCCATCGCAAAAAATTTATTATTTAAAAATCATAACTTGCACTTCATTACACTAGAAAAAATTTGAGAGTTCGCAATTTTGATGACGATTTGTCGAATTTTTCTATATTTTTTATGAAGTTTGAAATTTAGTTTTAAGACTTTCACCATGCTATTTCGGCAAAAATATTAAGATTTGCGTGAACTGGGTCAATTTAGAAATACTCCAGAAATTGAGTTTTTTTTATAAATAACATTAGTTTTTATAAATATAGTTAGTTTTTATAAATATAAACAATAAATCACCTCATATAATAGCAAGGTTAAGGTTTAAAACTTTTTTATAAACTTTTATCAATGGAATCAAAATAATGTAGTTTTTAATCATAAGGCGCAAACTTCCGATAAACATCATATGAATACCCGTAATGATATTTTTGAAGGCATTTTCAAATCAGTTCAGCTCACTTAAATTCTAATATTTTTCCGAAACATTTTGGCGGAAGTCTTAAATATATTAACTTTTTTGGCACCCTAATGTATATGGCTTTGGCTATAGCACAAAGACTACAAATATGTAACAAAACAAAAAATTTAAAAACATTGTAAACATTAAAAAAAAACATATGATTGTTTGAGTCAGTACATATACCGAGCCCTCGCGCGAAATTATCGCTGTGAAAAAAAAAAACAAATTTTACAGGATAGAGTTTTTTCTACTTCTCTCTGCCTTAGTTTTCAATATTAAAACCAAATTTTAGAGGTGAGTTCTACCGCTCCGTAGGTCCTTGATTCGATCCAAGACCAAAGCAATATCTAAAATTAAAAAAAAAGTTTTTTCTATCAGCGGTCGACCCTCGGCAGGCAAGGCAATTCTCCGAATTCCCTTGAAAAAGATTCTTACAAAACCATTTGCCTAATGGAAATTCAGAGGCGTCACAAAATTGAAGGTCCTTAAATTTTTGTTGTATAAAAGAAAGAAAATGTGGTAACAATGCATTCGATAATACATACATATATACAGTCAATTTTTACTATAGGGATTTAAGCTATAATATTTAACCATTTGCATCAAAAAGTCAATTACGGAAAAAAGGTACATACGATAATTTCGCGCACATCGGGCCGATATCTGGGTTGCATTCATACACAGAAATGTGTATGCATTTTTATATCTGCAAATCAATACATACCCCACATCGTCATTCGTTGATCGTCTATGTTTTTTATTTTCCTTCATGTGTTCGATCCGCATCTTGACGTCTTCTTCGATTTTATTAGCTATTTGCGCTGGTATAATACTCAAGAGTAAGCTTTTCTGAAATGCAACGCCCAAATTTTATGCATTCATACTTTTGCTACTCAAGTTTGCATTCATTAAAAAAATGTATGTATGTATGTATGTACATACCTCCTGATCTCTAGCAGCTCGTAAAACTAAAGTTTCTTCAACACATTGACGCTTATCGAGGAATGTTGTACGTATGGCGACTTCACGTGTCAGACGAAAGAACAGACCCAGCATATTGACACAGGTCATAAATATGCCTTCGGATATGATTTTTGGCAAATCAACTTCTCTTGTGCCATCAAAACGGCGACGATATGTTACGAATGAAAATAAGATAATGTAGCAGGCGGCAACTGCCACACCTAAAATAAAAGCCTGCACGTCTTCGGCAATCGGCATAAATATGTAGATGGAATATATGATAAAGCTATAGTAGGTCGGTACGGTAATATTATAGTCCGTGACAGCGCGATAGATTGGCACGGATATATCTAAATGTGTACAAAGATATTACTAAATATTTTAATTTCAATTGAAAACTCAATTCAAGCGTGCCTCCTCACCCATCACCACAAGCGCTGAAACCGCTAACCAAATCGTTGCAAACGTTAAACATTCGCAGCGTTTATTGACGGTCGTGCGAAAGTTAAAAACCAAAACGATGAGTATAACTGTGGTACAACCCATGTATGTTCCGATATCTACGTAAATGTCACGGTTCTCCTAGAAAATACATACATATATATTTTGTTTCTTAAAAATTGGTTCCTGTTAATTGGAAGTAAGTGAATGGCGTACTTACGCTTTTAGAGAATGAGACAATAAGTAACATGGAATGTACAATCGTGTTAAGTATTAGAATGAATATGAAAATGCCAAGATGGCTTAGACGCAAACGTTTCATGTAGGATACGTAATACTGTTCCAGTTCCAGATTGCGGCATTTCTTCTGAAATCACCAAACGAAATCGGTAATTATTGAGAAATGTTAGCTATTCGCAGTCTTCGTATGTATACATATATAGTGGCGAAAATATAAATAGGGAAGAGACATTTTAGCATTATTTGGTTATTATTCGTAAGATAATTTTCAATTCTGGCAACTATCTTGAAAGCCCATAATTGTCTTTCGAAAGACTATTTGAAGGATCTGCTAACGAGGAGGTCTTAGCCTTATGCTGTTCGCCTTTTAGCGATAAGTTTTTTCAAAATTAAATAAAATTAAGTTAAATTAATTAATACATATTATTTTTAAAACAAAATAAATAAAAACAGAAAATTAAATTAAAAAATAATTATATATAAAATGCAAATAAAGCAAAAATAAATAAAACTATTTTTAGAAATCACTTGAAATTAAAAAAAAAAAATATTATTATTTTTATAACAATAAAATCGAAAAATATATTAGAAAAGAAAAAAATTAAATCAAAAAGGAAGAAAAAAGTATCTACTTAAAACTTTAAAAAATTTATACATATTTAATTTTAAACAAAATCTAAAAATTAATTAAAAACGCATGGACCGTAATTAACAGCTAAACTTGGCCAGATATTTTTAAGTCGAAAATAAAAGCCCCTCCTAATAATAAACAAACCGCTTATCCAAATTAAACAACAATTTTGGTATCAACTGAAAGAGTACTAAAATAGCTTTAAAACTGAAATATTTAAACGAGGAAAGCCAGCAGAAGGCCAGCTATTGTAAAATATTTAAATAAAAAATGTTTTTTAATTACCATAGAACAAAAACCTTGGGTCAGGTATATGCATATCTTTTGTATTAAATTATAAACAAAATATATAAATAGAAGTGGTAGCCTTCGATCGTTATTTCTGCTTAAAAGGTATTAAGTCCTCTTTTATTTGGTACCAAATTTGTTTAATTTGGATAAGCGGTTTGTAAAAAAGACTAAAAGATAAAATAAGATCCTAAAAATTTAATTAAAGAAAAAAATATATTTTTATTTGTAAAACAACAAAATCTAATAATTAAAAGAAAGTGAAATTAACAAAAAATAGATAAATTAAATTTAAAAAAAGAAAACAATTAATAAATTTAGTTTCTAAAAATCAAATGAAATTAAACCAATATCTCATCTATAAACAATAAAATCTAAAAACTTTAAGAAAATTGAACTAAAAAAAATGTATGTATTCAAAAAAGAACAAAATAAAATAAGTTCCTAAAAATTAAATGAAACTAAAAACAAAAAATAAAAAAGAATTAAATTGGGGGAACAAAATTAAATTAAAAAAGAAAAAAATTAAAAAATATAAATTTTTCTTTTTAAAACATTACAATCTAAAAACTAAAAGAAAATTAAATTAAAAAAGATAAAATTTTAAAGTAAAAATTAAAAAAAAAATCCGCTGCTCTAGGACTCGAACTCGGATACCTCGAAATGTTTGCCAGTGCTCTGCTCACTCCGTCATTGCGACTGTTGGAATAAATTTTCACCACGAGTGGTGTATGAGAGAGCTTTTTTCTAAGGCTTTTGTCCCAGAATAACAAAAGTCTTTCGAACTATCTTGCCATCTTTCTTTCATTAGTCTTACGAAATACTTTTTACTATCTTGGCCACAATTGCCCTGAAAGTTTCATCAAAATTTTGAACTTTTAAATTAGGTTTCTTAGAAACATTTTGTAGTATAATAAAATTCAAGTTCAAAATTGCTACGACTTACCATTGATTTTTGGCAAAAAATTTAATGGGTTACAAAACTGCATACTCAAAAAAATAAAAAAAATCTGATTACAAAGTTCAGTTTTGATGAACATTTGTTAAAATTCATTTGTAACTTTGATGGACATAGTTTTTTTTTAGATAGTGAACTATATTTTTATAAAAAAAATAATACAAATTTTTTAACAAAGAAAAATAGTTAAAATGTCTATTCCCTATTTATATGTTCGCCCCCGTATGTAGGTAGTACAGTATTGATACTACATACCTTCAAGTAGCCAAGTTCCCATTTTTTTTGGTTGACCAATTTTGATTCATGGCCCTCATCATCAAAATCGTGGCTATCCTCGGTTGAGGACTCTAAGAATGAATTCATATTTTCGATCCTTCGGCAGACACTTATTTATCTATGTTCGACATGCATGTGTCCTAAAAATTTAAGCGCATTTATAAACAAAATAATTAATAAATTTTACACAGATTATTGTTTAGTTTAAATAAATCGTCAGTATTCATGTAAAACACATTCTTGAACTAGGAATGTTGAATACAATGGTGCAATACACGACTAACATAATTTTTCTTGGAGTTCGTATTAGGTATAATGAGTTTGACTTTAGAAATACTAAATTGTTAATAACCAGGGATGGCAGCGATTAATCATTTGATTAAATTAATGGATTATTTTTGTACGATTGTCGATTTGATTTTATCGTAGTTTTGTGTTTTATTAAACGATTATTAATCGATTAATTGTAAAATAATCGTAAAAATAATTGCAAGAAAAATAAATTCTGTAGTTTGTCACTATAATCAGAAGATCTTTGGGCCCCTCATAAATCTCTTGCACACAAACGAAGGCGAAAAGTTGATGATTTGCGTCACCCACAAGATGAAATGAGTTTTTATATAAATTATCAAGCCCAGAACTAAATCGGAATGTCATCGACGCTTGGGAGGATATGAAAACTGTTTACCCAAAACTTTACGGACTTTTGAAAAAATTGTGTCATTTAGTTGGTAACTCGATGCCTGCTGAGCGCCTTTTTTCAAAAGCTGATGCTACAGCCACCAAGAAACGCAACCGCCTAAAAACAAAACGCTTTTCAAAGCTTTTGTTTTTGCCAACTTGGTTAAATAAAAAATAATTATCACCGCTAAAAATACTCATTTTATTTTATTTAAGGCTAATTAACAAGAACATTAAAAAATTTGTATGGAAAATTGTTTTTGTGAATACTCGCTGTAAAAAAGTACCTTTATAAATTCGATTAATCGATTATTTCTCAATAACTGCAATTATTTTATTTTTTTTGTTTGTGAATAATCATATGCTTAATTAATCGATTATTTTATTTTTGTTTGCCATCCCTATACATAGCCAAAGTTTTCCTTTAGGATTGCGATGAAGAGTGGAATGAAGCCAATAAAAGCAGGGCAGAAGTCAGAAGACAATTGAAAATTTTTTGAACTTTGAACATTCGTAGCAGTCATTACAAGTAGATGTGTGCATTGTAAAAGAGTGCATTAATGACTTAAGAATTATTTTACAGTTTAATGCGAAGTTCCCTCATTCTCGCGTCATCATACGTCCAAGTAATCAAAAAACTACATAGTGAACAAGTTGTTAAATAAATTCATATTGATCGATTTGAATGAAACAAAATGGATTATTTAATTGATGGATGTATTATATTAATATAGGTAGTATATGTATGTACAAGTAGATATGTATATGCACATTAGGGTGGTGAAAAAAAAAGTAAAGTCGGAATTTTAGTGCCCGTACCCTCTATGATTTTTATACCGATGAAAATATACCCCTGTTTTTTTATTTTTGAAATCAAAAAATATTTAGAGGTCGCTAAAAGCGCTCAAAATTGTCTCTGTTATTTATATGGAAAAAAACGATTTTTCGTAAAAATTGTGTACAACTTTTTTTTAATAAATATTCGATCGGAAAACTCTGTTTCTCTTCAGGAAATTCCAATAATAATACCCAATTGCTTATTTTACCAGTAACTATTTTGAGAGGTCCCCCTAAAACCCAAAAAAATGCAAAGGGGTGGGGGGGCTCATTTTTCTTTTTTTTATATATCTTTTCGATATACATAGAACAATGCAAGGGGGTGGGGGCATAGAAATTCGAACTTTAATTTTTTTCACATGTATTTTTGGACCACCCTAATTTTTATATGTACGTATACCTATTCGCAATAGGCCATCGATATGCCGTGCATGCATCTATGGACTTTCACGATATCGTAGCGATACAAATCGTTGACTGTATATAGAGCCTCCTTGCAGGAAGTCAAATGGTAAGAGCCTTATTGTCGGTTGTGACGCTAGCTCATAAAGCATTACAACCCTATCATTCCGTCGATTTGTAATGCAAATACATTTGTCTCACTAGCTACTAGTAGAAGACATGAAATTATTGATAACAAAATTATGGCCAACCTCCTCAAAAGATGGATAGTCTTGGAGGAAGAGCGTCTCTCTGACTACACTGTAGGGACGCTAAATTACATAAAAAACTCCTAGACACGTAAAATTCATTTTTGGTCGTAGATTCCGTATTTGTATACCTACCTTCTAGATCAGGTCAATGAAAAAATTTCCAACTTTAACATAGAAAATGTTACTCATACGCCATGTTCGAGTATGTGCGAGTACGGCCATGTACGTTATGGCGTATGAGTAACATTATTTCCTGCTCCTATTTTATAGCTTATTTTTTGTCTGCAAAAGAAATAAAAAAATTAAAAAATCTTTTATTTTTTAATTTGATTATTTTTTATAAAAATTAAAATAACTTCGGTAATTGACCTGATGTAGAAAAACGGTATACAAACCCGTAATCTACGGCCCAATATTAAGCTTACATGTTTCGGCGTTTTTTGTGTCATTGCAAAACATCAATAGGGGAATTCGCTCTTATGTGTATTCGTTGTATGTTGTGTAATCGTAACTGCATGAGCGTGTGATTTGTTGTTGCTAGCGGTACATCAAATACACATGCAACAACAACCACACGCTCGTCCAGTTACACTTACGTAGGATACAGCGAATACACAGAAGCGCGAATACCACTAATACCTTACCGTAGAGACAAACCGTTGGCTTGCAATTTTTGTATCCCAGGAGAAATGGAATTGAAGTTCAAGGTAAAAAGTTCGCTTTGCTTCTCTATCTAATTCCGAGAAGGCAGAACAGACGTAGCCCTTGTTTATGCCGATAATGTCGCTCTTGTAAAGTATTGTGCCTGAGCGGTTCAGTTCTGTGGCTGTTATTATCTTTTCCAAGATCACAACTCGTGTAGAAAACAGTACTCAGACTACATGTCGTTCATTGTAATGTTTTCATGTCCCTTTTAATCCGCTTTCAATCTGCACGATTTGCGAATAAACCTAAGCAGATTGCTGGATGTCAAGGAGCTGAGGTGTTGGGCTCTCAACACATCGCGGCCAAATGCCTCATACCTAACTCTTGCAAAAGCGTGGCTGAAGCACAAAAAGTGTTCCTGCGTCTCATCCTCTTCATGGCATGATGGTCAAATGGAGTTGTCATTTACGCTTATCACAGTCAGGTGCTTGTGCCACGTGAAGTGACCAGTAAAGCAAGCTCGTTGTGTTTGTTTGGGTGTCACCGCAGACACTTAAGCTCCTTCCCCTCCGCCTACTTTTCATCACTTAGTCCATGGCTTTGAGGATTGCAAATGCCTCAGCCTGAAAGACCGAAGTATACTCCCAAAAGAAATGTGAAGCTTATTCCTATTAACTCCGATAAAGACCCCAAATAATAGTGGCATACTAGATGCCTGTTGCATTGAAAAGTGATTAAGACACTAAGTGACAATAAATGCAACAGTGCGTCAAGAGCAGCGCCAGGTGTTGAATAGAAAGTACACGTACAGCACACGGCAATAGTTCTATGAAGTTTCGCAAGCAGATTTCTCACGCTATTAATTGATAGTCTGCTCCACCATATCACTTACGCATAGCTGATTATGGGTCTGATCATAGAGGTATAAATCCACGTGATTACCTCTAGTGACAGACCCCACGTTTTGCCAAAGACCTGTTTACATTGCCAAAATGTCGCCAATGCTTTGAAGGTCTTGTATTCCATGTGAGATTTCCACAATAGTTTTATATCCAGAATTACCCCCACATACTTCACTTCGGGGGAAGAGCGAATTGTGACTTCTTAAGTGTGAGTGGAATGAGACTATCCAACCTTCTAGTGAAGAGCACAACACTATTTTTGGTTGGGTTAGCGGTAAGCCCATTTCCATAACACCAAGTGTCTATGATATTCAGTATTGTCTACGCTTTCCTGCAAATAGCCGGCAGAGATGGGCCCGTGACTAGACAGGACGTATAGGCTTGAGCGTAGATATCAGCATATCTCCGTAGTAGAAAGATTGAAACGAAATATGTTAGTGCGAAGAACTTCAGATGTTGGGCGACAGGGTAAACGTCCAGAAACGCTATCAGAAAGCACGTATTCATCCGTTCAGGCAACGCTAACTACTAACAAGTTTGCCACAACAACAATGTGAAAGGACGAAAAAAAATTGTTTTAACGGACTCATAACGACCCTATTAATTAAGCTAGAACTTGACTTGAGATATGAGGTATTATGACGATCTACATATGTATGTATGTGTTCATATTTCGATACCCATTGTGTACATTTGCATTTTTATCACACCGTAATCAGTTGCCTCCAATTAATGATAGTTATGCAAACACTTTCATTTCTTATCGCGCTAATTTTAAGCGTTGCGTCAACAGTGATTGGTCAAATGTCATTACAAATATGACAAGTGTATCCAATAAAATGTTACTAAATATACCTGTTTGAGCTTTTCACATCCACACACATATGTAAATTTTAATTTTATAATTTCTTGAATTTAATTATAATGTTTATTGCAGCGCAATTGCGTTTCCAAAATTTTCTTTCTTCTTTACTTGTTTCACTTAATTATATTAAAAAAAATAGACCATCCGTAATTATTTGCAAACATTACATATGTATATAGTTAGGCTTAAAATACGACACTATCGTGCAATTACAAAAAATTTAAATTAATTACTTTGTATTGGTACTTATTACTTAAGATTCGAGCATTTAATCCCGGATGAATTATGAATACTGATCGACGCACCAGCCGCGGATGTTCCGCATTGTCAATCACTCGATAAGTTATATCGCAAATTACTCATTGCACTGATAAGCAGCTCGAACTCTCGAAATACCGCTCTTCGCCTATTGAAACAAACAAAAAAACAAAAAACAAACACTGAAAGTAACACTACACCGAATATACTTCTGAAGACCGAAATCAAATTGCACTACCGGTAGGCTATTTGTACACCGTCACGGTCTGAGTTTGATGAGGTACTAAA